TCCATCCATCCATCCATCCATCCATCCATCCATCCATCCATCCATCCATCCATCCATCCATCCATCCATCCATCCATCCATCCATCCATCCATCTTAAATGGTTTGATGTCAGTTTTTGCAGCATGAATTTAAGACATATGTTTTTACTGTGGGAAATCCAACACTAAACGACTGCCACTCTGGGTCCCTGAGCAAAGACCCTTAACCCCGCATAGCTCCCAGGGGGCTGCACAATGGCAGCCCACTGTTCCCAAGGGGATGGGTTAAATGCAGAGGATGAATTTCGTTGCTCTGTACTTGTAACAATTTAATGACAATAAAAGCTGGAAAAAATACCTTCATGAAAGATAAAGACAGACAGAGAGATGGATCCATGGTTGGATAACACCCAGACATGAAGAACCAAAGATGTTTCTTTTGTGTTTTTACACATTATGATCCTTAATGTTTCATCAATTTCAGTGTATCAATAATATAAAAAAATCTTAATTGAATTTTAAGCAGGTATTTTATTTTTTAATTACAAAAGACATCTATACTTTACTCTTTTCAAGCTTTCCAAACATCATGAGCTGTATTGTACACGAGGTGATAAGCAACTTCAATTGTGTCATCATTTTGTTCTCATCCTTAGCCTAGAATAAAACAATAAGATCATACTGTGGCTTATATTGTTGCAGTCGAGTGGGATTAAATGTACCACTGCAACAGCTGGTCCATCAGAAAGAGATGAACTGAGAAACTAAACGATCAGAGACCGGATGCTGTAAACAGATGTGAATAGGATTTTCTCTGCCGTTTTTGAGCTTTTTGAAGAGCTCACATTGAATGAATCTAAAAGCCATGCTTTACTATATATCTTCATAGTGTAGTTACATACATACACATTTCTGAATTGGGGTTTTATTTATTGAGAAAGCAAGCCCATTGACATCGGGTAAACCAGGTGTAGGCAATGTTGGTCCTCAGTCCCACTGTCCTGCAGCTTTTCAATGCATCCCTTCTTCAACACACCTGAAACAAATGATTGGATAATGTCTAGGCCTCTGGTAAGCCTACCCACATGCCAAGGAGGTAATTTGGCATTTTGTTTCAGGTGTGTTGGAGCAGGACGCATGCCCAAGCTGCAGGACAGTTGCATTCAAGGAACGTTCATATATATAAACAGTCACCTAATTTGAATATTAATTTTATAATAACTTGGGGCTTTCAATTATTTATTAAAGCTGGTTGTTCCTCATGTTGGACTGATTTCACCACATACAACTGTAGTTACATTTAAAAACAAGAATTGGGAGCACTCATATTGTTTATCTAACTCTCCTTGGTAATCATGATTGAATGAAGTTAGTAGTTTGTCTGCATCAAACTGCTGTGATAAACAAGACTGCTCTGAGACTTGTTGGATGGAATAATACTTTGTCGAATAGAAAAACCCATGAGAGTAGATGTATATCTGTATGAGTATGTCTATGCGTTTGAAGTGGTAGGTATACCTTTCACTATGTTAGGAGTGAAAGGTATACATTTTATATTTTTTAAAGACAGAAAGGTGCTGTAGGAGATCTTTTCTGATGCATTTTTTAATATGTGGCTTTAAGATCTCCCCACAGCTGCTTAGCAAGCAGGGAAATAGAAGGTCTGGAAGTGAGCATAAAATAAATGGTCCCCGCTCTGGTGTGAAATCAATGAGTAACCCCTGCCAATCACAAAACACGGTCCGTTGTACACTATTGGTTTCTGACACGTCAATCATGGTCGTCTGCTTGTCCCTCCCCCTGTGTACGTACCCTGACACATGAACAATGGGCTGGAAGTTAGGCACTGTTATGCTATATTCACACCTAAAACAGCAAGAGCAGCAAAGTGCACATGCTGCTTCATTTTTGATGCTTGTAAAAGTTTAGTTCTGACGCAGAACTGAAGCATCTTCGCTGCTCTAGCTGTGCGGTAAAAAAAAGTGGGTCTGAAGCACGTTAGGCGGAGCTACTCTATCCTTTCTTTGCCTGTAACAATGGCAGGTATATTTGCTGTGATAAGTGGGTAAAAAGTAGTTTGAATCTATTTTTAAGTGAGAAAGTCCACCTGAGAGAGACTTACTGAGAGGGACATGAGCACCACTTACACTACCCTCTGAAAACTAAAAATCTGTGCAGAGCTTCAGTCAGTTAGTTCGGTTCCTTAGTTGGCTATAGTCCCTCCATCCCCCTGGGCCTTCTCCTGGTCGGATATGTCTGGAACACCTCCTGAGGGATGCGTCCACGTGGCATCCGAAGAAGAGGTCTGAACCACCTCAGTTGACTTCTCTCAATGTGGAGGAGAAGCACCTCCACTCAGATCCTCTACCGGACGGCAAAGCTTTTAATAGTCAACCTGCGGGGATATTCATTTTAGCCACTAGTATCCAGGATCCTTCTCTTTAACTCATGAGAATTTAGCCTTTTTGGCTCTGCTCTCTTTTCACCATAACAGACAATTGGAGCGTCTGCATTACTGTGGCAACTTCACCGATCTGTTTTTGATCTCCTGCTCCATTTTCCTCTCACTTGTGAACAGGACCCTAAGAGACTCGAACTCCTCCAGCTGAGGCAGGAACTTTTCTCCAACATGAAGAGGGCAAGTCACCTTTTTCCAATTAAGACACATGGACTCGGACTTGGAGGAGCTCATCTTCCTGCTGGCCACTTCGCACTCGGCTGCGAACTGGTCCATAGATCTTGGCAGGAGAAAGCCAATGATCCTTAAAATTTATGAACAGGACCAGTGAAAGAGGGAAGCCCTGCAGGAGTAAACATGCACCACGGACAGGTAAAACTTAATACAGGCAACCGAACAGACTCTTGCCCCGCTTTCAGCTACTGGATGGTACCTAGCCCACAGAGCAAACGTGGACTGTTTAGGTTAAATCCAATCAACCTTGAGGGTGTAGAGCCACTCCAGGGTTTCATGGCCAGTAAAAGCACACTGCTCTTACTGGAGCCAAGCATTAATATTCAACAGTTAGCCTCATAGGCTCTCCTCTCCAGCACCCTGACATAGGTTTTCCTGATGAGGCTGAAAAGTGTTATCCCCTGTAGTCGAAACACACCTTTCGATCTCCCTTCTTGTAGACAGGGACCACCAACTCAGTCTGCCAGTTCAGGGGCACTGTCCCTGACTGCCATACAATGTTGTAGAGGAATGTCAACCTCAACAGCTCAACAACATCTAGAGACCAAAGGTAATTAGGGAATCCAACCCTGAATCCTTGGCTCAATGGAGTTTTTTGTTTTTGATAAATAAGTGTGGCTCTGACCACCCATCCTCCGCGTCCACCAGGGCAGGCATTACAGCCAGTTTGAGGAGACCCTCAATGTGTTCCTTGCACAGTCCAAAAATGTCCTCAGTCAAGGTCAGCAGCTCCCCACTCCTAATGATAAAAAGCATTAGCAAAGCACTGCTTCCCCTCCAGAGGCACTGAAAAGGTTACCATAATTGTTTTGAGTCTGACTAATAGTCTTTCTTGATTGTCTCTCCAAACACCTCCCAGGCCAGAGTTTTTGCTTAGGCAACCATCTAGGCCGCGGCAGACTTGGTCTCATGTTACCTCCTCGTTTCCTCAGGAGCCCCACAAGCAAACCAGGCTGTATAGGACTGAATATTCAGCTTGATTGCATCCAAAATTATCAGTGTCCTCCACTGGCTTAAGGGGTTGCTGCTAAACAGGTACCACAGACAATAGCCACAGCTATAGAACGTAATCCAGACATGGTGACTCCATGTTCCCAGACATACACATAATCTGGGAGAAGCTCAGAGGTGGGAGTTGCATTTGTCCCTGAAACAGGACTAAACCAGGTATTCCCAGCAGGATCTCACTACTCCTTTGGCCTGCCAAGTCTTTCTGTGTTCTTCAAGCATATCCAACACTTCAACAGGTGCTCATCTCTGGATAGCTCAACTCCTCTCATCACCCAAGACATGCGACTGAAGGTCAGAATATACGACAACAAAGATAATTGACCTTTGGTCTAGCGTGTCATGTTCAGAGTTGAGTGTCTGTTTCTCTTTCTGATGACACTTTTCAGGTTTCACTGTTGTTTCTGTCACTGATGTTTCTTGAAGTCCCCCAGCAAGGTTTGATCTATAACGATATCTACCACGTCAGTGACACTAATACCCCTTTTACACTGGCCAAAAAAAAGACACTCAGCTCTGACTCGTGTGCTGTGTGAACTTTAGTCCCGGGTCGACCTACTAAGTTACGTGACACCATTGAACTTAATTTACGGATGTCAACACACTACGCCAGTCGCCTCTGATCTAACAAGCCGCAAGAACTCTGTTTACATTTGATAAACATAGCGCTGCACTAGTAAGAGGGATTCAGACCGATAAAAGAGCCAAATACTAAAGAATACTATAGAATGACTATGCTCTGGACGCTGTCCATGTTGCTGTCCATTAGTTACTTCTCTGATTTCTGCAACATTGTTGACATCAACAATGCTTTCCCAGCGTTATGCCATGATCAGACACGCAGTGGTGGGGGACAGTGGCCATGCAGCTTTCTAGCAGGGGGTCAGACTCGGCTTTTCGGTCAAATGGGAACAGAGCCAGAGCAGATTGTTAGTGGGTCAACGACTGGATTTAAAAAAACAGAGTTTTCAGTGGGAAAATGGCTTAAGAAGGCCTAGTACTTCATACCCGTGCTTGGCCTATGGCCCGAAACAACAGTCAGAGACCCACCCATCCGCATCTGAAGGTGCAGGGATGTGATCCACTGATGTTGTAAAAATGTTCCCTTATTTGCTGCTCACACACCTGACATTTTTTAAATGTGGCATAATAAAAGGTTATCCTTGTGAATGTAAACTTATGACCACATTTGCTTATGCTCTGTTTGCAATCTTTTTTCCAACACAAGCATTCAACAGAAATTCTTTTTATTTATTGAGAGCCATCAGTAGAAGATGAAGTCAAGTCCTTGTGTCTCTTTATGTCCTGACATAAAGAGACACAAATGTGTGAAAGAATCTCACAGTCAGACCACGCAAGATTCAAACAAATGTTATTTTTATAAGAAACCCTGAGTTTGGTTTAAATAGTGATGCTCTCTGTCTGTTACATCTGTTGCTTGGCCTCTTTTTGATCTTTCGGATCCTTCAGTCCTAAAACAAGCGAAAAAACAACAACAACAAATAAATTCATAACAGGAAAACTAACAGAAATCAACTTCTAGGAAATCATATGTAAGGAGATAATGCAAGACTCTTAAGGATTACAATTAAAATGACCATACTTTTTAAAACCTTTGATTTAAATTTCCAGTTTTCATTGAAGTTTTACTTTTTTGTTTTTCTTTTTTCTTCCTTTTTTTAAAACACGCTTTTCTGTAGCCTCCAATAATTGGCTTTGAGTGTTGAAGTTTGGGGTCATTTTAATGCTTTTGGAATGTGAACTAAAATAATTCAGATTTGTTTCAGAATATGAGGTTTAGAATTGTCTAATGAGCATTGGAGTTAAAGCTGGAGTGAAACCCCCAGTTTGCATTGTGCTTTGTTTGGACCTTGCAATCTGACCAGTTTAAAAAAACATTGATGCAACCTTATCACTTGAGTTCAAAATGAGTGAGTCGCAAACAGTTGTAAAAAAGGTCCCTGTTTGACTCCATTTATAAATCATGAATAAGTTTTTGTTTTTTATAAAACAGAGGATGGAAATTAGATCTGAAGCATTTTCCATAGTCCCAGATTTAATGGTAAAATATAAAAAAAATATTCTTTACTTTTCCAGGCTTTTCAACGAATGTTTCAAAGATAGCTGCCACTCACATAATTAGCATTTTTTTAATTCCCATTTTCCAACAGAGGCGACCCCCCCCCCCCCCC